TTTTTTATTGAATAATATAATTAGTATGAGCAGTATGTAAGAAATAAAACTTACTTATCTTTTTTTAACATAAAAATATTGTAAAATCTATAAATATAAATCTCATTTTTATGTTCATCAAATAACTTAAATCTATAATTTAATTAAAACACAACTGGAGCCGCAGCCTCAGCCGTGTAAACGAACAGGCTTGCATAGCCAGATACGATCGAGTTAACTAAACATTCATCATGTCAATTAATGCTAGCTAACCATCTAGGTGGTGCCCAAGTGGTAATGACTTGGGATCAAGGGGTTTGTTCCCTCTATGGTCCCAAGTTCGAGTTCTTGGTTGCTCATATGATGGTCACTGGAGGATTACATGGTCATTAACTTCAGGATCTGTGGGATTAGTCGTGATACGCACAAGTTAGCCCGAACACCCACGGTAATAAAAAAAAATTAATGCTAGCCTCTTGTCAATGAATTATTAAATTAACCAATAGAGTTGGGTTTATATTAAAAAAATATATCATTAAGGAATAATAACTCTCGGACTCGTTTATGCACAACATCATTTCCTTTAAACATTCAGATCCAATTTCCTCTGCCATTTCACTCTTTCCAATTTTCACCTTCTCTGTAGAAATATAATCCAATATAAAGGGCTTTGCCTTTTCTTTTCGATTCTGTTATCTCAAAAATGACGGACAACAACAACAACCCGAACTTCAACAGCTATAATAATGATGGAGAGGAATCAAGCCCGTTATTGAAGAAGAACCTTGAAGACAACGACAAGAAACCCACCAAGGTTTCTGCTGATGCAAAGATCGCCACCGCTACCCTGGCATCTGCTGGGCCTGAATATGGATGTACCGTCAATGGGCTTCCCTTGATTCATGGGAGCGTGATGGGTGAGCCTATGGGACGGGCTCAGTGGGACTCCTGCCTTTTCTGTTGCCTCGGTCGCAACGATGAATTCTGTAGCAGCGATCTTGAAGTCTGTAAGTCTTTAATTTCTGTGCGTTGGTAGATTAATTTATCATTTTTTGAAATTACTCGTACATTCTTTCAATTGGGGTCGTTCTTGGTATTAATGATTGATTCGTTTTGCAATTTTTTTTCCGATAATTGCTATCGAGAATAGATGATTGATTATTCTAGATTACGGATTCTTTGAAATTGCTAAAGTGATTTTTATAATTCTTTAAAGTGCAGCAAAGTAATGGATCATATGTCTTTGTTGCAAGTTGAGTATTAATTGCACCAATCTGGATGCTCTCCAGGAATGCAAATGGAGTAAAAGCTCTTGGATGAGTAACAAGGGTAGAAACAATTAGTTTAAACAGGAAGAGAGGAGGAGTCTATGGTTTCCTGAACTCCAGGCTCACCATTAATTCATCACTTCATAATACTCTCAAGAAAAACAAATTCTGTTTCAATATATCCACTTCAGAAATGGCTACATGTTGAAATGAGTAGGATGATAAAAATAACTGAAAATAACTGAAAATAACTGACCAAATGCTGCGTATAACAAGGGAATAAAAACGCTGCAGGTGGACTTATTGAAACGGTGTTGGTACAGTAGCTAATGAATGGCCAATTAATTAAAATAGTTGAAACTTTTCCATTATTGTATCATCCCCTTAGAATCTAGCTCTGCCAAATTCAACTTGTGACCATTTCCCCTCCTTGAAAATGCCCTTGTCCTCGAGGGAAAATTATGGAAACTTTAGATGAAGATCATCACCAAACTCCCCGGTTGCATTCGAAGATAAAAGACCCTTCCATAGGGTCAGAACGTGCTCTGAAGCACCAGTCTCGATGTATTTCTTGGCATTATCCCATATACCACCAGCGTTGGAAGCAGAGATGGCAGTCTGGACACCAAACACAAGGGATCCAGCAAGTAGGGGTGTTAGCATGATAAGTGCACCAGATGGGGTCATCTACTTGATAGAAGCATCCATGAAGACCTTAAACACAGGTGGCATCGTCAGGCTTGGCATGATCTTCCATGAGGCCATGAATGGTGTTGAATTGCACTCGGCCCTCCTTAACCATCTTCAAAGCTGCACTTCCCACACTTTTAATAACTTGTTTTATGACAGGATTGCAAACTTCGTCTACTTCCTTCAACTTCTCTTCATAATTATCCTTCTCTGCATTTTGGTTATTGTCCAACCATTCAAGTGCAGCTTCTCCCAAATTTTATTATCCTTCTTGGCCATTTCTTCAGCCTCCTTCACCATCCTATCAATCTCTTCTTGGCTTAGACCCTCCTTATCGTTGGTGATGGTTCTAGATTGAGACTTCTTTGCTGCTTTGTCCTCGGCTTTCATATGCAGAATACAATTGGCATCAACCTCAAATGTGACCTCAATCTGGGTCATTTTCCTTGGAGCTGGAGGAATGCCAAACAAATCAAATTTCCCAAGCTCACGACAATCCTTTGTTAAGCTTCTTTCACCTTCATCAACCTTTATAGACATTGTGGTTTGCTGGTCTTGGTAGGTGGTGAGGATTTGGGACTTCTTAGTTGGTATGACTGTGTTCCTTGGGATTAGTTTGTCATCATGCCCGTAACTGTCTCAATACCCAGACTCAGAGGAGTAACATCAAGTAGAAGGCCTTTGGTTTCCTCTCCGCCTTCACCACTAAGAATTCCACCTTGAACAGCAGCACCATAGGCCACAACCTCATTTCTTGCACTTTGGGAATTCTTTTACTTCCACCAACAAGCAGAATCTCCTTGATATCAGCCTTCTTTAATCTTGCATTATCCATAGCCTTATTTACTTTCTCCAGTGTCTTCTTAAATAAGTCCATGTTCAACTCTTTTAATCTTGATCTTGGTATCGGCTCTAAGAAATCAATGCCATCAATGGGTGATTCAATCTCTACTCGAACTTGATGTTGGCTACTCAACGCCCTCTTATCCCTCTTACATTCCCTTCAAAGCTTCCCAAGAGCTGTCTTATCTTATGTATTTGTTGTGCTTCATCTTGATCAACTTGATGAAACAGTCCATCAATCTCTGATTGAAGTCCTCTTATCCCAAGCTGGTGTCTCCGCTAGTAGCAAGAACCTCAAAAACACCACTATCAATAGTCAAGATGCTAACATCAAATGTACCATCACCATTATCCCCTCCTTTCTTGTGCAAGCCATAGGCAATAGTTGCAGCCGTTGGCTCACTGATTATCCGAGGTACATCTAGCCTGGCAATGATGCATGCATCCTTTGTAGTTTGGACATGATCATTGGCTATAATCTCTCCATGTCCTTTTTGAGAGACAGCCACATAGAGTACATAGTCCCAGGATCAATGTCAGTCACAGTTCCTAGTTTTGATCCACCCTCTGCTGTCACCGCTAATCCTAGAAAGTAGTATTTTGATACGATGTTGAGTTCAACCCTTCTAGGATCAATTTCCAAATCTGTTGGTCCAACAAATCTAGTTCAACCAGCAAAATGTTAACACTAAGAGCAATGACATCTAGCTTCAGAATCTTTGGTGTCCAATACTTCAGACCACGGCTCGAAAATTTGCAACCTTAGGAGCTGCAGGTGAAGTCCCAATTATCATTCCATGAAATAGATTTGTTGCAGTTGGATATTGACTCAATTTGACATATTCTCTAATCTTAATGACAACAATTTCACCAATCTTAGTAGCAGGCAGAAGATGAGAATCAACAATTAGCTTGTCACCACTATCTGCTGTGTTTGCCAATATCATTCCAATCCCACCAGCAAGCTTTATTGCCTCTCCTTTCTTCACTCTTGCATAAGCAACAATCAACTCCATCCAAGAAGTCTAATCCCTCGGCATTTTATCAAAAACTTTGCTCTGATACTCCAGAAACCCACATTTTATACACATCAATCATAGAATTCCTAACATGCAAACCGTCATCAATAGCTTCATCATCTTCCACACTATTTGATCCATGAATTTGCGAGGAATGAAACTCAGGGCTTCAGATATTGATAGCACCAATCCGGATAGTATCCAGGTGAATTGGTATTGATTTGGCAGAGAGCCAAATTTGATTTAGTGCTGAATTTGTGTGAGAAACAAGCAAGAAGCCAAAAAATTGGATAAGAGGGCATATTTTCAGGTGCCCTGAAGGAATCCCCAGCCTTCAAATTGCTCTTATCTTCAGTTTTATCTGGTACAGGGTCTCTAGTCACCAAACTAGTAGAGTCAGTAGCAACAGGCGTAAAGTGAAACCCTCTGGTTTGGCATCAGATGATAGACTCAGTTTCGGGACAGATTCACTTAGGACTGGAGAAGAAAATACAAATGGTGTAACTTTATCATCAATTTTATTGTTGGGGAGGTGCCATTCAGTTTCTTTGGCAAAGCAACCTTCTCCTTGAAGCTAGATATTTGAGAATTTGGTAGGGCACCTTCATCAGATATTAAAAGTCGATGCTCTTTTCAGCAATCACAACAGCCTTGTAGGGGTAGTGACCTCATTCCAACTTCTGCAAAATAGATCTGTTTTGATCCATCACCCCATGAAGAAGATCCTTAATCTCCTCAAACACGTCTCAAGATATCAGTCATCGTGTTCAGGGTCTGAAGATTGACCGCTTTGATATCACTTGTTGCAAGCTGAATATTAATAGCACCAATCTGGATGCACTCCAGAAGGGCAAATGGAGTATAAGCTCTTAGATGAGTAACAAGGGTAGAAACAATTAGTTTAAATAGGAAGAGAGAAGGAGTCTATGGTTTCCTAAACTCCAGGCTCTCCATTAATCCATCACTTCATAATATTCTCATGAAAAAACAGGTTCTGTTACAATGTGTATATACAGCCACAACAATCCTCTAGACATGAGCTGATAGGATCAGAAATGGCAGCACGTGAAATGACTAGGACAATAAAAGGGACTGAAAGAACAGACCAAATGCTTTGTATAACAAGGGAATAAAAACACCAACGTGTGGACTTACTGAAATGGTGTGTATACACACCAACACAGTATCTAATGAACCGTCAATTAATTAAAATAGTTGAAACTTTGCCATTAATGTATCTTCCCCGTTGAATCAAGCTCTCCCAAATTCAACTTGTAAACAGTCTTTGGTCAATGATCGTCTAATCTGCAAATTGTATCATGATAATGATAATAACAATTGGCAATTTTTTATTTCTTAATCAATTGGAGATTTACATGATGGTTTCTGTTTTTCTATTAGTAAATTTCTGGTATTATGTGTTCTTTATGGGCACGATAGTAAGTGGATATCAAATTCCTTGTTGTTTTTTGTTGTACATTGTTGCTTCTTCTCTATGTGATGTTCATACGTGTGCATGGTATATAGATATTTCAGAAAGTGTGCCCATTTTTCTGGGTAACTTCATTCTAGCTTGGTAAATATTTCAGAAAGTAGATGCAAGCTTGGTTTAGCTCAATAGCTATGTTGGTTGTGTTTCCTTATATTATATAATATACTTAGATGCACCCACTTTGTTCTCATAAAATCCAAAGTAATAGAAAACACTAGATTAGTTTTCCAAGTGGAATTTAAGCAAAAATTTCATTTTCAATTGGCAATTATTTTTGCATAAGAAATTTGATGGTATTTTTATGGGTGCATGATCTTTAAAGAACATGATCTAACATATTTAAAGGAGGAGGGTTGGCCTTTAGCTTATTTGGAAGCCTTTATTTGATTTGGAAGCATTTAGCATGCAATGATTCCAGATTCTGGAATCCATTTACCAGAACAGTTCCTTCAGCGTGCATGTAATCAATTTGTTAAAGAACCCCACCTATCATTGTGGACAATCCCTTCATTTTCTTTTTTCCAATTGTGCAAGGTCTTCTTGGAAGCATTGCCCCTTGCGTGCTGTATGGAAGCAATGCTGAGAGACTTGGATCTACTCCTGGAACATTTGCAACCCACTGCTTGTCATACTATGGTTTGTACCTGATTGGCAGCTCATTTTTTGGTGGGAATTGCATTGCACCATGGTTTTCATATCATAGCCGGACAGCTATCCGCCGGAAGTTTAACCTAGAGGCAAGTTATTTCCCTAAGACTTGCTCCCGTATATCTGCAATTTAAACATGATTTTGAATTCTGATTCTTGGTGTAGCTTTATTATCATCTCTGCTGTAATCATTAGTTATGTGTTTGAAACTTCATTTTCTTTTACAGTTCCACTCCTTTTCACAGGGCCCTTATATGAGTTCCAATCCAGTTAATTTAGAATTGTTCCAAGAAATAGTCTACATTTGCATTGCTATATTGGTGCAGTTTTTTTTTTTTTTTTTTTTTGGCCATGAGTGCACAATTACGTGTTGAAAAAAGCTCTTTTTCCCTATTTATACCCGGTGGTAGGGCTTTAAGACTCTTGAAATTTTCTTTTTTGCAAGGAAAGAAGATGGCATCAGTTTTTTTTCCCCTGCTTTTGTAAATCAAGGAAATTTAGAAAGATTGCCTCTCAAGCATTAATAATTTCTGTGGCTGTTAATGTGAAACAGGGTAGCTGTGAGGCACTTAATAGGTCATGTGGTTGCTGTGGAAGCTTTGTGGAAGATGATCTGCAACGCGAGCAGTGTGAATCAGCATGTGATTTTGCAACTCATTTTTTCTGCCACACATGTGCTCTTTGCCAGGAAGGTCGCGAGATTCGTCGGAGGGTACTCCATCCTGGTTTCAATGCTCAACCAGTCTTGGTTATGATCCCTCCTGGGGAGCAATCCATGGGACGTGGGGCTTGAATGCTTCCTTCCCAGCATTAGAAAGTTATATCCTGTTTTTACATATTTGGGTGTGATGTTTAAAGTTTCTGAAAACCAGGTGGTTTTGTTGGATCTCTTCCAAGCATAAAAAAATAAATAATTATGGACACTTTTGATCGCCACTTGTAAAAAATAATTATGGAAACCTGTCCTAAATTTAATGTTTATAATTATCCATTGAAGTGTTTTGGTGGAAGTGTTGAATGATATGCTAAAGGCACGTGCTCTCTGCCATATATATATATATAATTCTATTCTGTAAACGTGAAATATGAAAATTTAACTTATGACATGGTTTTACAAGCACATTCAATTTATAGTAATTACTATTCAATTTAAAAAAACATCATCCAATATGATATCATATCAATAATGTATTATATTTATAATTCATAATTAAATTTTTTATTAAAAAATATATCAATAATACTTAAATATTTTTTATATAAAAATAAAATTAATCTAAACTACAACACAGGCAATAATATAATAAAATTATAACACTGCTCAACCTTTAACTTTTTCTCAGCAATAATTAATAAAGGATTTGTTTTTTCATCCACTAAACATTCTAATTGATTTGAGCGCCCATTGAATGTAATATATGATGTTGGTGCTAAATGAAGCCACGTGTTATGGTGTTAATCATCTCAATTTTCTTTTTAATTTTTTTTTTTTGGGGGGGAGGGTTTAACGAGTACAATAATCTCACTGAATATTTGATACATGCTTTGGTTAGATATTGTTTTTTAAATAAGAAAATTATATATAGTATTTTTAACATGATTTTTTTTTGAAAAAATTTAAGTAAAAATAAAAAATTGTATGCATATATAAGATTAAATAAATTAAGAACAACGTGTCTTCATAAAAAAACTAAAAATAATAACTAAAAAAATTAAAAAATAAATATAAATTTAAAATTTTATCTCATAAGTTCTAAAAAAATTAAAAGATAAATATAAATTCAAAATTTTATCTCTGAGATATTTATCTAGTTATATTTACTAAATTTATTTATTAAAATAATTTTTTATTTAAATAAATAAAAAAATAAAAAAATCATTATGAAAGGCATGATGTTATAAATATTATTTGAAAATAAAATTGTTTTATTTTAAAAACTAAATTTTATCTATATAAATAATTAAAAAAATTGTAAATTTTTTTTTAAAAATTTAAATGCATAAAAAAATTATTATCTAAATGAAGTTCTATAAAACAAAATAAAAAAGAGAATAATTATTAATTTAAATATAAAAAAATAAAAAAAATCATATAAAAAAGCATTGATTTTAAAAAATAGTTAGAAAAAGGAAAGAATCAGAGGCCCGCGCATGGAGATGGGTGTTTTAGTCCATGGGTTGGAGGTGTTGTGGCTAGACTACACTAGTGTATGGTCAGTGGGTTGTAGGTGGTGGTGAAGAGGTGAGCACAGGTTGAAGAGGTAAGCAAAGGTTGAAGACAAAGATGATGGATGATCTAGGTTAAAGGGGTTAGTTTGATTTGGGTTTTTTTATGAGAGGCTAAGGTTGAATATGCTGATTCAGTGCTGGATATGAGTTCCTTTGATAATGGTGCCTGCTTGTGGAGGAAGAGAGGGAGGTCGGCGTGCAGAGGGAGGCTGGACTGTAGTAATAGTTCGTGTGGGTCACCCATTTTTCTTGTGTTGCTTGTGGCTGGTTTTAGAATAATGGGTCTAAGGCATATTTGTTTTTTGAAAAACAGTTTTTGGGAAATCACTTTTCAAATTTTCTTGTATTTGTTTGTCATTAGGAAAGTTGGTCAATGAAAAATATTTTCCGATCAACAAAAAACACTTTCTAGTCAACGAAAAACACTTTTTAGTCAACGAAAATATTTTTTAATCAAAAAAACATTTTGCTTAATTTTCAGGAAAGTATTTTCCTTTTTAGCTGTGTTTGTTTTCTGGAAAGTGGTTTCCGAGAAAACACTTTCCAAACTTTCTTGTGTTTGTTTTGCAGAAAGTTATTTATGGGAAATCACTTTCCAAACTTTCTT